TGGTTCTCTCAGATGTTTGCTATTACTGATCTAAATGCATAACTTTAAAATGTCTTTTGGTGAGTATTTATTGCACATAGCCTCCAGTGGAGGTGTATTGTTTGGTTTGTGATTGGCAGGATTGGTTACACAATACTGTTTGTGCTTCCCAGTGGCTGGAGGAACACAGAGCTGCTCTGGGGTGGGTATTGGCCCATATGAATTTAAAATTTAGTTCCCTTGACTGGCATTTACTTTCTGAAAACTCTGTTGCCCATCAAACTCAATTGCTCAAATGTCTGTGGGAAACCAGTGGTGGTATGTGAATGTAGTCTCAGCAAATGAATTTTTAAAAATGTGAAGCAATGTTCACTGGAGGAAAAATGAAGCATTTCTGCATTATTTGGCTAGAGTGAGTGTTATGAGCTCATTTGATTCTTTTTCTGTGTCACATTTTTGTGACAATATCATATATGTACGGTATTACAATTCCTGTGCTCCCCAGAAAGATCTTTAATTATCTAGACCATATAAGCAACAAACACCTCAAGCAAAAGCAAAGCCATTAATTTTCGCACTTCAAAGTCGCAGTTTTTCTCCCTACAAAATGTGTCTTATAAAGCTGCTACTCTCCATCCTCATTCTTAGTCCATCCACACCTCTGCTGCAGCCAGTAACCTAAACCACTAAAATGTTGTGCTTTATTTACAAATGTGTGCAAAACATCAGCGCTGTGCAGGATCTCCTCCTGTAACCCCTGCTGGGAGGAGGTGCTGGAATCCCTTGGGGGCAGTTAGAACCTGGGCATCCTTCTGGCCAGACTACATGGTTGCTGAGAGACTGAGAGCCTCCCAAGGGAGTGGAGACAGAGGGGACTCCCCTGGGAACAGTAGTTCCCTTTGTGTTAGTCCCAGGCTTCCCAGGAGGCACCAGTGTTGACAGGGGAGCTACTCCTCCATGTCTCCCGCTGATGCTGGTTGTTGGGACTATTGCCACTGCTGTGTGTTGGGTTCTCTGCTATGCTATACTGATGTTTTGAATTGTGAATTTTGTTCTTTGCAGTTTGGCCATCTGCAGTTTAGTCAAGCATGTTCTCACTCCTATGAACACACAGTGCTTTCATTCTTTGGGTTTTGAGACCAAATTCCTTGGTCTCAGTGATATTTCACAGAAAAATGTTTGAGGGGACATTGTGTAGTCTGTCATCTTTTTACCTATTTCCTTTTAACAGTCTGAAATGTTATCAGCATTGAGTTTTCTTGAATATTGCCTTGCTCATATATTCTGAAAAAGGAAACAACTTGTTCAATCCCTGTGCTCTAAATCAGCCATTACTTTTAAGTATCTCTCTCCATTTCTCCCTCATTTGTCTCACCCTACTCAGCTATCCCTCTGTGCTGTTCAGAGAGAGGAACTTGGAGGCATGACCTTGTCTCAATTCATTACTTTATTAGTTTTGGCATTCTATGTATTTTTAAATATAGATTTTTCCTTTTATAGGATTAAGTATTTCTGTTTTAATGGCTTGTTGAAATCCACATTTCCCTCTCCTCCTATCTTAGGCTCGGCAGCTGATCAGCACAGGGCTGTAGATCAGAACTGAGTTCTGGCTGCTTCAGACACTAGGTAGAGAAGGAAATGGTTTGAGGTCTGCTGAACAAGGAGATGACTGGGAATGGTGTTTCTGTCAGATGTTGGTTCAGTGGTTTCTGGAGAATTCACAGTTCTGAGAATCTGAGCAGACCCCAGCAGGTAAGAGTCTGGAGAAAATAGGTACAAGAGCAGAATGAAAAGGTCTCAAGTTTCCTCCCTCTCAGAGCATTGTATTTGTAATGCTGCCATTTAAAGATTAGGTGCCTATCCAGTGATTGAATTTAATATATAATGTTGATTCAGGTCACAGCTAGAAGACTGTCCACCCATTCATCTGGTACAAAGCAATAAATACTAAATCTGTCCGAAAGGACAGGTCTGCCTGAAGTAAATGTGCTCCTAGTGTGGTGCGACAGCTTGGCCAGCCTTGACAATGGATTCCAAGAATCACAAGTTTATGGTCTGTCAGCCAGTGCAAACATCCATCCATCAAATATTCCCCACTTGTTATACCTAGAAGACAGAACTAGGGAAGCATTAAGAAATGAGTGACAGAGGGAGATTATTTGTACTCCTGTGGTCTCAAGATCACCAAAATGAATGCTTGAGTGGCTCTATGAAACACTAATGTCACTCAATAGCCAAGTTTTCCAAGGGGAGTGCTCCTGACTTCCTCATTACATATCTCTCCCAGCAAGGTGGCACCCTAAAGGATAGGCATGCTCAAGGCTGTGCACATGCCATTTAAAACCCAAGGTCTGCAGGCCTAATCTTGCCTTTCTTGCTGAATTGTGTGACTGTGGGTACTCAGGTGGCATCCTCACTTCTGGGCTGAAAACTCCCAAACCAAGGTTTATTTAATCTTAAAGGATCCCTATAGTTCCTAACATGGATAAAGGTCCTTGTCTCAGTGTCCTCATTGAATTATGGATTCATTCTTTATACCCCCTCTCAGATTCCTTGCTGGGACCCAGCTTCCCAGCCCATAGAGTCCCATGGGACAGGAGACTGTGTGGAGAAAGGGAGGAAGGGCACTTCCTTTGGGTGGACAGGGAGATCCAAGGTCAGAAGGAGGGAGCCTGTGAAAGTTGGAAAGTGGGAGCAAAGGATGAAGTTGAGAGGAGAGGCATAGCTGGGGAAAGAAAGGGATTTTCTTTGAGCTGGCCAGCTCTAGCTTAAGAGAGCTGAGTACTCACAGGAATGCTGCAGAGATGGTTAGCAGTGGATTCTCAATGTCTCAAGACCTTGTCTCTTAAAAAGACTTCAGGGCCCTGTTACTGCACAGACAAGCAATCAGATGTTTGGGGGATGCTTGGTTTTGCTACCCTCCTCCTGCTGAGTAGGCCTCACATTACAGGTGGCCTCTCTGGGTGCAGAGGTGTGCTAGGAGATGCAAGGAGCGAGTGCTTCCATTGCAAGAAGATGGAAGCTTTGCTCTCTGACCAGCTCTCCCCAGTCTTCCTTGGTAATGCAGAGGCAGGCAGAGGAGCTGGAGGGGGTTTCTGTTAGCCAGTCAATCAATCATTTCCCTATGTTTATTATTTATCCCCCTGGCCAAACCCTCCCCTCATTCCTGCCACTTTGGGCAATGGGAATTTTTGTGATCTCCGAGCAGCAGAGGCTGGCGGGCAGCCCGACTGATGCTAGCAGCTCATTCTCAGCCATGTGAGAGGAGAAATATCAACAAGGAGAGATGGAGTTAGAACTTTATTAGGAGAAACATAGGCACGATTGACTAAAATCTCACGTTAAGGAGAACACGCAGGTCTTTTCAGGGTTAAAAAATACAAATATATAAAATCTTACAAACAAAGAAAAAGAATGGTTTCCCCCCTCTGATTGTGAATATGTATATATATGTACAGGGAATTGTACCAAAGCTAACTATGTATCAGGAGCAAGGATTCACAATCCCTTTCTGTGGCCCTAAGAGAGGGAATGGCTCAGTCCCCTCACAAGCTGGTCCCCAGCCATTCACTCGTGCAGTCCAGTGTTGGGAAGCTGTGGCCTGTGTCTGAAAGGGCAACGCAGGTTAAACAACAGGGAGCAGCTTAGTTCTGTCTAGCAAATATCTCTAACAGAGGGATGTCAGCTCTGCACTGAGGAAATGTTTGTTGAATGGGAGCTGCCTACAGAGATCACCAACCAGACTCTCTGTGCAGTGTTGGGCCCCAATGGCTGCTCTCAGAGGTTGCAGTGATGGAAAGGCCCAGTCCATGGGTGGTTTCTTATGCCATACGTGCTAGGGATGGAGTGGAGATGATGGCCTGATGGCAGAGCAGGGGCTTGCTGTGAGGACAAATATCTTGACTTGGCTGATAGGCTTGAGAGAGCAGCCAAGAGCTGAATGATGTGCAGGACCCAGAGAAGACTTCCTGCTTGCAAAAGATGCTGAAGTGTTTTGGTAGGTTAGTGAGAAGACACAAGCCGTACCTCTTCTGCAGATAAACAGAGGGTGCTTTTCTCTCAAGTGGGGTATCTGGCAGTACCCTTTCAGCAGCATTCTGGTTGCTTGAAAGATGAGTTTAAAAAGGTGGAAAACCACTTTCTTTCCACATGACAATTCCTTCTTTTAATTTTTGTCTCTAGGAAGATATCTGTTCTCACAGGAGAGTCTCTATTTCTGTTAATGGATATCTTGTTTAGAATCGATGACATAAATATCTTGGGAAAATTCCCTAGTCTTCATTAACTGGTCATCTATGTGATATCCCTGGGGCCAGTCTGTTGCACTGATTTAGGAATGAGGAAGGGATTCCAATGATAGATATGAGGCAGCTGTGTGTGTGGGACCAAGGATGTCCTTATTTCTGGGGAAGAGTTGTTATATACAGTGTCAAAAAATTCAAGTAGGATTTATTGTATAGGTAAACTGGTATAAAATATCTGGGCTCAGGTAGAGAAAGGAAGGGTTAGAAAGAGACAAATCAAAGCTGATGAGGCAGTCTTTCAGAAAGCCTACCAGTGTGTTTCTGCAGGTGAGAGAAGCTTCTGCTCAGTATAATTGCCAAGCTGATGTTGCAAATGTTGAATAGACACCAAAGAAGATGTAAGGGGGTTGACGTCCAGTCAGTCTGTTGAACACAGTGTTGCAGTGGATACCCACTGGGCAGTCTCAGGAGTCTGCTGGCCTGTGCTCTACTAGGCTACAAAAGAGCAGTCTCTAATCCCTGTGGGTCCCATTATGAAAATATGGCCAAGGACTTCACATCCTAAGATTGGTGCCTGTCTTCAGTGCATATATCCCAGTGGCTGCCCCTGCCTTAAGCTGTGAGAGGTGCTGTCTGCAGTACAACGGTGATGTTCTCTGGAAAGGAGCAAGAAGGTGTTAAAACTGAGAGGTTAGTGGCAAGAGTTTGGATTCCACTTTGCAGAAGTTTTACTAAGTGCTGAGACTGCTCCTTCTCCCCATATCTCCTGGAGACAGATCACACAGACAGATCATCCGACCTTGCCTTGCTGCTGGCACGGCTGGCCTTGCTGAGCCGGCGTTTCTCATTGAAGTAGTTCTCAGGGAAGGCAGGTGCTGCACATTCGCTGGCCACCTCTGGACTCTCTGCATAGCTGGACTTAATGAAGGGCCCTTCACCAGCAGCATCCTCTTGGCCGTGGACCCTCTCGGTGGCGAAGTTGGCAGTGTTCTGCTGGGAGGCCATCTTGTTGCTGAAGGGGCTGATGAACTTCCCGTTGGGACTTGACAAGCACTGGTTAAAGTCTGGTGGAGGAGTGTACATCTGGGCCCTTTCTACTTGTGGAGCAGACTCCAATCTGCCAGGGGCTGTGCTGGGGTTGGGTTTGTAAGACCGAGAGCACCTCTCTTTGGCTTTCTTCCAGCCCAAGTGATACAACTCGGCCAGACTGAGGAACAGGGAGAGCACTGCCACAGCCAGCATGAAGACAATGAACACATTCTTCTCTGTGGGACGGGAAACATAGCAGTTGACAGGGTGGGGGCAAGGTGCCCGCTGGCAGATATACAGGGTCTCCAGGAAGATCCCGTACAAGACATACTGTCCCACAATGAAGGCCACTTCCATGGCAGTTCGGATCAAAATGCTGTAGACATAGGTGTTCAGCAGACTGCCCCTGAGTATGATTTTGCCCCCTGTTTCATCCCAGCAAGACAGCTCAGCCTTCTCTGCCACAGAGCACTTCTGCTGGTAGTATGTGTCACCACTGTTTTTCATCTCTCGGGCCTCCATTTCTGCCTCCTTCATCTTCCTCTTCTCCTCCATGCGCACTGTGTGCATTGCATGGCCCATGTACACCAGAGATGGGGTGGAGACAAAGATGATCTGGAGGACCCAAAACCGGACATGGGAGATTGGGAAAGCCTTGTCATAGCAGACGTTCTCACAGCCAGGCTGCTGCGTGTCACACATGAAGTCAGACTGCTCATCCCCCCAGGAGGACTCAGCTGCTGTACCCAGCACTAGCATACGGAAGATGAAAAGCACAGTCAACCAGACTTTCCCCACCACTGTGGAGTGTTTGTGGACCTCCTCCAGGAACTCTCCCAGGAAACTCCAGTCTCCCATTTCTGCTCACCAGAAGGGGTGAGAAGTCTTGAAGGGAGAGTTGGACACAGCCTCTGTGGGAGAAAACAGAAGAAGGGTTGTAAGGAAGGTTAGGAAATGCTCAACTTGTAATGCATAGAGTGAAATAGTTTGTTTTGTGTCACAGGAAATGTTTGCATTTGACCTGAAATGAATGAGGTCTTGTTTGCTGAAAACTTTGTTTCACATCCACTGAAAACAATGTGTTGGGTTTGTTTGTTTTTTAAATTCAGCTACTGAAATAAAAAGTGATCTTTTTTTTTTTTTTTTTTTGCATAACACAACTACAACCTGTTAAGTAGACTGCTAAGACCTTGGGGGTGAGGCAGATTTATTCTTAGTTCAGAAAGTCCTTTCACTGCAGTCTGCATATTGCATCCTCTGTGGACTGTGTAGTTAAAGCAGCATTCATCTGTCTGCAAATTTTGCTCTGGGGAATCCTTAGTGGGCTGATCCCCTGGGAGACAAGACTGGAGTCTACAGCTTAGCCTGAGCAGTGCCTTGGCACCTTCATATGTCACCTTTGTGTAATATCTCCACCAACACCTGGAATCTGAAGTGCTCACAGTTCTGGGCTTCATTTGTGAACTTGATGCCACCACTGAAAGAAGTGCAAAGAAAAACTTCCTGTTTCCCACCTGCCCCCTGTCCACAGGTTTTGCTTTGGTTTTGCAGTGTCGCCAGCTGCAAGTGTTACATTTACAAGTTGCAAAAGTTTTGGGGAGTGTAAAGACTTCAGTGAGCTGTGCCAGTCCTGTAAAACCAATCTGCTGCCACCCTGTCATGTCTCTCTGAGTGGAAACTGCTGCAAAATCTAAACAGTACATCTTGCTCCTTCCTCTTTTCTTAAATTCTGAGACAAAATTTACAGCTAAAATGACACAGACAAGCCTCCTTTGAAAGTGCCTCCCAAGGATGAGCACCCCCTGGGAAGTGCTGTTGGTAAGTGGTCTGATGAGAGGAAAAGTTTGGTGGACTTGAGAGTAAGATTGCAAGATGAAGATGCAGGAAATCCTGCTTCAGTTTTATTTCTGACTCTGACACACTGTTTCTGGCCAACTCACTTAACCTCATGGATAAAAAGAGAGCAATGGGTTTAATCCATCTTTTGTGGGACTCTGTGGGAGTACTTGAGCAATCATTTGATCCAGTTATGCTCACCATACTTACCTTCCCAGGGCACTGCAAAGCTCTCCCTTGTGCCTGAGTTAAGGGCTAGGTGGTATAAAGTGTGCAGTATTACCTTGGAGATAATGTTCTCCTACAGTCACTCTTTTGGAAAATAGCATTTTAATAAGTAAATGTAAAAATAATCATCATAATGAAATATTAAAAGCACTAGTCAAGGTAAATCCCAAAGGCATAGAGACCAAATTGTTAACTCTCCTTCTTTATTGTCCCTTGTCCTGTCTTTAAGAGCCAATTACTTTTATGGTGCAAAGAACGTCTGTGGAGAGTAGACACTGTTAAAAGCTGAAAATTTATGGCAGCAATATTGTGTAGATTTCCTGTGAGCAAAAGCTGGAGAGCAGAGAGATATACTTGTTGGGGAAACAATATCCCCTCCTCTGGTTATGTGAGTGATATAATTTAATGTAGCAGCATTCACAGTGATTTATGCCATTGCTTGTTTATGTGCTGTGTCCATCCACAAGGATGGATGGGATAAAGATCAAAAGTTTTAGCCTTAAATTCCTTGTGCTGCTGAGGGCTGCCCTGTGGAAAGGTAAGGATTGCCCAGGTACAGAGAGATGACTCCTTGCTACCCCACCACCTGTGATGAGAAAGGACATACCAGGAAGCAAAGGATGGGCTTTGGCTCTTTTCTGCTCTGGCAGGCATGCTGCAACCATGCTGATGCAGATCCTGGTGGCTGCTTGGCATATGCAGAAGCTTTCATCTGCTGCCAGCCCAGAGCTGGAGGAGCAGTAACACAGAAAATCAGCTGGTCTTTCTGCCTCCTCTTGTCTGCACTGGTGAAAACTGGTGAATGTGTGGGTCTGTCTTACCTTCTGAAATGGCTTTAGTGCACTTACTGCATCCTGGAGAAATGAGCATATGGTTTCATTTCAGAAGCACCAGGTGACTAAATACAGGCAGATAGATCAGTGATGGGAAATATTTACAGACTGAAGCACTGAATCAGTGTGTTTGGTTCTTTTCCCCCCAGAGTACAGACAAGGCAACCACCCTCCTACAGTTCAATGCACAGGCATGTCCAATGTCAGTATACTGTAGCACAACTGTACATGTGGAATATTCCTTACAAGACAGCATCAACAATGGTGAGTGTCCTCATTTTTTCCAGGAGAGTTTATGTTGTTTGCAGGTGCCTCTATTGCTCCTGCTGTTGTTAGCTGACAACAACTTGATTTGCCTTTTCTTGATTCACCTTGCTTGTTAGAATAAAAATGACCACAATTCTCCCTGGCTGTGCAAAGACTGAGTTTTCTTTCCTGCCACAGAGATGTACAATCACAAACTGAGCACCTCTTCCCATCAGTTCTACTGTATGCAAGTTGTTTAGTAGTTTGCTATGGCTTGTTTTCCCCAGGAAAGGCTAGTAAACTTAGACACTTGCAAATTGTAAAAACCAGTATGTGCAGAACACAAAGTAAAGCAAATGTGCAAAGGGAGTCCAGAAATAAAAAAATGTTAAAGGATGCGAGAAGAAGAGTATTTCACCTGTTTCATACATGTACAGAATTTTTCAAGAGGCTGTATATCAGTAGGATCCAAGGCTGGTAGTCATGATGCTTAGGCTAGATAATAGGGACATTTCCTCTGCTGTCCCCTGCACAGGCTGTCTAAAGGAGGGGCTGCCCAGAGATGCCTCCTGGTCATCCTGCTACAGATCCATAGAGAGCTGAGGTGGCTTCTGCAAGGGGTAGCTGGCCACAGGAGAACAGGTTTTGGAAACCAAGAGTAGGAGTTTCCCTCCTAGAGCAGTGTTTTTGCCTTAGACATTTGATAGCTTGTGCTGGTTTGAGCTGAAGTAGAGTTAACTTTCTTCACACAGGCTAGTATGGGGCTATGTTTGGGTTTTGTGCGGAACAGAGTTGATAATGCAGAGGTGTTTTTGTTATTGCTGAGCAGAGCTTACACAGAGTCAAGGCCTTTGCTGCTTTCCATACTGCCACGTTGGCAAGGAGGTTGGGGGTGCATGAGAGATTGGGAGGAGACACAGCTGGGACAGGTGACCCAAACTGACCAAAGAGATATTCCATACCATATGACATCATGCTCAGTATATAAGGTGGGAGGAAGAAGGAGGAAGGGGGGACATCTGGAGTGATGTTGTTTGTCTTCCCCAGGAACCGTTACGTGTGATGGGCCCTGCTCTCCTGGAGATGGCTGAACACCTCCTGTCTTTGGGAAGCAGTGAATTAATTCCTTGTTTTGCT